TATTTTCTTCCTACCAAATTATGATAATGTAAAACAGCGTTTATTCATTGTGTCACCTATAAAGTCTAGAATAATCAGAGAAATAACATCATCTCTATTCTTTGCCAAGAGAGGATAACGCTTTATCCTCTGTTGTTTTTGCTTCATATAAACAGCATGTTTCAAGATCATCGCCAGTTTATCAGGAACAATGTTTTAAAAGTAATATCTAAATTTAAAAAGCGTATAATTAAATGTTTTCTCACAAAATAATTCTAAGCGTATTTGCTTAATACTGTAAAGCAGGCACGAGAGAAAAAAATGCCAAGTTAATGTTGGGTTTTTGCGATACATCTTTAAATCGGATACCTGGTATTTTTTGCTCAACGAATAATTCGGTAACTGTTTTTTTTTTACTATGTTTTGGGTACTGAAAGAGATGCTGAAAATTTGATTCCTTTTTCTGGAGTTTTTTTTCCTAGTGTATTCTGGTATATAACCCAGTCTCTCTCCTCCGCAGAGGCCTCTTCGTGTTGTAGGGAGGCTGGGGAGAAAGAAAAGGAGAGCGCGGGGCATGATGGGAAGAGGAAAGAGAGAAGAGTGGAAGAGGGCTTTTTCCCTCTTCCCATCGTCCCCGCGCGCTTTCTATTTTTTTCGATTACTGCTATTTTTACTGGGATACCCAGCGGGAGCCTTTGCGGAGGAGTAGAGTAACCCAGCCACGACTCGGATTCATGGAGGCAAGAGAACTAATTTAACAACTCACTGTTCGCAGGTACTGCTGCATATAAAATAAACATTTCTATTTGTTTCTAGGTTAAGGACGAGTTTCGTCCCCACATCCAGCGAACACCGAGAAACAGTTACGTGCAGCTTTACTATCATTGCAGGAAGTTCAGGATTTAAGGACATGCTTGCTTTCAGCGCTTTCTCTTAAAATCCGTCTAGTAAGTTGTTATACTCGTAGGGCACGTTAGGAAAACAACGCGCTTGGCCTTGGGGTGTGCGTTACGCCTGCTAACCTCGTAACTATAAAGAAATTATGGTAAGAGACTTGTTGTCGTAGTCTAGAATTGATCCTCCAGCCAGGACTGACTCCAATCTTGTGAGAGGCATTCCTTACTGATGTGATGGCTGGCACTGATCCTTTTCCTTTTCCCTTCTAATCAAGATTAGCTGCTCTTTACCCTTTTAACTTTCACTGGGAAAACGACTTCCGGAAATGAACATGCGCAAGCCGGATTTGCATTTCAAGCCAAATCTTTCCGCAAGTATCATACTATTACTAGCACATTTTTGGAAAAATATCACGGAACCCTGGGAGTGCAATTTAAACGCAGGAGAATTGGAAAAAGTTACTAAACGCTTGTTAATCTGTTATAAAGCGTTCCTTCTTCCCTTTTTTTTGGCGGGACTTCATGAAAAAAAACTCGCATGAGGTCTTAACATCAGTTTTCTTCTCAGAATATTGCATGCAATATCAGAGAAAAGGTTATGAGAATTTATAAAATGATTACCAAAAGAAAAAGTGTCTTGATCTTTTACAATCGAATTCTATCAACTTAGTATTCTGTGTGGAAATGTATAGAGTTCAGTCTGGAGTATTTTTAAGTGAATATTGGGGCTTTTAAAAAAGGTTAACACCGAAGCGGGAACTAATGCCATGTGGCACGAAATTTTTACGGGAGTTTTTTTTTTTTCAGTGCGGATTGGCGATTTTTTGGGGTTTTGCGGGAACTAATTTTTGCGATTAGGACAGATTGGTTTTTCTCTCTTAGAATTAATTTTGATAAGTATTTGGCTGAAGTACATGCCCGAGAGACACGTATTTTTTATTCTCATGAAGCACGTAAATTCATTTAGAACAGAGCAGTTCAGTCTATAATGTTTAGTTCTATAATTAATTTTGCGATTTTCAGAAAGTACCCAGCAGCATTGATGATATTCAGTTCTTTTTTGTTAAGTACGACCCTCTCCACTACCCTCCTTCATTTTAAGGTGTGTTTGTGTATGAAGCCAATATAGAACATGACTATAATCGTTAGATAAAGAGAACTTGTTGCGAAGAAAGCGTGAACCTTCAAGTGTTACTATGATCAAATTGCCTAATACCTTTTATTTTCCTCGACTGCTAAGTATTTGGCTGAAGTACATGCTCGAGAGACACAATTTTTTTTCATGAAGCACGCAAATTTATTTAGAACAGAGCAGTTCAGTCTATAATGTCTAGTTCAAGTTAAGCTAGCTCTGTTTAAATGAAGAAAACTTTTCTGGGGTAGGAAGGGTAGAAGGGTTAACTCCAGTCGCCCGCCTCCTCTAGCTACATGGCGAGCCATATTTTCCCACACTTCCTCACAAAACGTGGGGAGCGAAGCGTTGACACGAAAAACATGAGTTGGTTCGTCTCGAAGGGCATTGTCCCCTATTGTAAACACTTTGGATCGCCCAGTCGATTAAACGGTTAGATAATAGAGTGATTTAGCTACGGGAAAGCGCGCGGAAAGGACTGAACCCAACTTTCGGAGCTCAATTTGTCGCGGCTGTTTGCCTAACAGAGCATGTGCGAGCGTTGCATTGATTTAGTCATTGGCTCCTCGTCCCCAGAGCTCGTCGTTTATTTTTAAGCCAAGTGGCTCTGGGAACGAGAATGTACATAAAAAGCTCCTTGGCTGGAAGGGTGACCCTTTTTTTGGGACAACTTTACAAATATAGCAGAGACTACTCTTACGGACAGGGGCGTAGCCAGCATTTCGACTAGTTGTAGGCCTCCGGCTGACTTTCGTTTCCACATATGCTAAAAATTGCGCGCATGAGAAGACCGCACTGACCTCACAAACAGTTTGAGCTCTTAAGCTTTTTAGCGCACCCCACAACGCATAATTTATTACGTACGTGCGATTTTGTTTCATCGCTCATAAGATTACAGGCGAAATTAGACTTTATTCAGTCCTATTACACCAGATCATAGACATTAGACAGTACACACACCTATTTGCAAGATCACGCAAGAGACTACAAATCATTTTACAGTTGTGGGCTTAATATAATAACCCAGTCTTCACCGGTTAGATAACAGAGTGATTTAGCCACAGAAGGGGAGCTTTAGTTGAAGAGACGTACTGGAAAGCGCGCGGAAAGGACTGAATAGTGCCCTATTTGTCGCGGCTGTCTGCCACTGTCTGCCTAACCAGAGCATGCGCGAGCGTTGTTTAAGTGGATTGGCTCCTCGTCCCCAGAGCTCGTCGTTTATTTTTAAGTACACTGCGAGCAGTCTCTCTTTTGCTCGAAAATCTGTAAGAACGTTAGAAATGGCAATACCTTTTAATTGACGACGTTATTACAACCGGAAAACAGTCGTGACCCTTGGCGGGTATCATGTAAAGTAATCAATTAAAAAAAACTGAGACTAAAACATGAGAGATGTATCCCATTAAATAAAAGATTACCAAAACACACTTGATTCCTTCAGATCTGTGGAAGCTTGGGGCAAACAACTCAATCAAATACGAAAATATACTTTAATATCACTCGATCAATACAGGTCTACCGGCGTTCAAGTCATGGACACAAGTGCTGTGCACGGGTAGCCGTCGATGAAGCCGCCACAAGTGAGCCACAAAAGACCTAAACAATGCGTTTGCAGGCTTATGTGTAAATAAAGTACAAGCTAATAAAAAGTTCAAGGTTCCAATAGTACATGTACATATTACATTACTAGTTTACTGCTTCTGCTACTTCTATTGCTACTATTGTCTAATGATACTTAAATCTTTGATTTCTGTTACAATGATGATCAAACTACTTCTCATTGTAATCACCAAAGTAAATCGAGGCAAAGGTCATTGAGTAACTACCCGTATATCTATGCAGTACATTTATTGTAGTTTACTAAATGGAACTTCCAGTATTTTCTGTCATATCATCGTTTTCACACTGGCGGCTTTTCCGTGAACCATTACGAATTTGGAAAGAAAAAACTTTACTCCTGCTTTTTGCAATAAGTTGTTGCAACATAATTGCTGCGCAAGGAGTTTTGTGTGCTCGGTTGGAATTAGCGAGCAACAACGCTATGCAAGTTGTAAACCAATGCCCAGAAAGTTGCTCTGGCGGTTTAGTATGTCCCATATCACTGTACCTTTATTTAAGAAACAAATTTTAGTGCATGCTTATGAATTTACCTAGTGTAACAGGTACCTCTCCCATTGCCAAATAAGGACTGCAAAACGTTTTTACAGCTTTAGCGCAGATGCACTTTAACTTCATTTGTTTCCTCTCAGACAGAATCAAGCGAGCTTCTTCAGTTCGAGCGATGTCCATGGGTGTTTTGCCATCGTTGTTCACAAAATCATGATGAGCGCCTCCATCAAAATCTGCAACATGTCAGTGAAATGTTGAGTATCGTTGTGCCTGGGCATAAAAGTGACTGCCATGTGCAATAGAGTATTTCCATTTTGATCGACGGTGTTTACGTCGCACCCTGCCTCCAAAAGAAACTTCACTTCATCGGTGTGATTTTCACCCATGCCATGCGACCTTACATATTTTCGTAACAGTGAATTACCATGAGTATAACTAGTAGCATAGCCATAGGACCCATGACATTTAAGGGTTAAGCCATGAATACTCTTCACGAACTCAGACATACTCAACAACTCTTCACTATCTTTAAATTTTCTTACAATTGTAAGTAGATCTGGCAAAGACTCATACAAAAGCTTGTGATCAAGATCTTTTAACTCTGGCATGTGTAGGACGTTTGTGTAATCGTGAATTAATTGATCAAGCATTTGAAGGAAAATCATTTCTTTAGGCAGATAATTTACCCTTTCGTGTAACATGTAAATTAAGGCATTTAAAACAGCAATTATGTCTGACTGATTATGGTTTTTCGCAATATTAAAGGCGCGTTTGTAAAACCCTAGGTAAGTGGCGAAATCATTGTTCTCGAAATAAAAAGGAACACATTCGGTAATTGGAAGTGTCAGTTCTACATTGTCTGCTCCAAGGATTCTTTCTCTAATAATGAGGCTTTCCATGAGTTGAGCATTCATATCACCTTCAATCTCAGCGAGTTCCTCGACTGTTTGACTTTCTTTCCTGAACTGATAGGCTTCAACAGGCTCCACCACAGGCCTTTTTGGCAACAGATTTGAAGGATCAGCGAGTCTCTCGGCCATGCCACGCTTGATGTACTCTAATCCTTTCTCAACATCCTGGTCGGCACTATTCATCTCCTGGCGATTAACAGTATAAGTTAGAATTGAAGCCCCAAGAAGCTCCAGAGCATCGCATCCCTGCTCTTTGGTTATTTCAGGTTGCTGGATTAAAAATTCTACCACATCTACACTGCGGCTATTACATGCCGTAAGAAGAGGTGTCAATCCTGAGGTGTTACTTTGACGGGAGGCACCAGCAATCAGAAGAATATTCACAATTTGTTCGGGTGATGGTTCATCAGTCGAGACAGCATAGTGAAGCGCTGTATCTCCATTTTCGTCTTGAACATCCACATCAGCTCCCTGTTCAATGAGAAATTTTACTTTGTCTAAATAACCGTTCCAACTAGCAAGCATTAGTGGGGTGGCTTCTTGAAGGTTTCTTGTGTTAACATCAGCTCCATTTTGAATCAGAAAACGCAAAATGTCAAGCGCAAAGTCCGAATCCGAGGTGATAGCATATAAAAGAGCGGTAAAGCCATCAACGTCTTTTAGATGCATGTCAGCACCGCGTCTCATGAGATATTTTACTACATCCATGTTCGAGTCGTCATCACAAGCCATCATCAACGGGGTCACATCCCTCAAATTCACTGCATTGACATCAGCGCCGTTTTCGACCAAGCAGATCACGACTTCATACATGGAGCTTACAGTGGCTAAGTGAAGCGCGGTGAAACCATAATCGTCTTTCAGGTTGACGTCAGCGCCTTGATTGAGAAGAAACCTCACTGCTCCAAGCTGTTGCTTCTCAAATGCAACCATTAAAGGCGTGGAACCAAATCCAAGTGTGGCTGCATTTATCTGACTTATATCCGCTGCTTTTTCAATTAGTGATCTTAAACATCTTATGTGTCCAAATCCAGCAGCTAGGGGCAACGAAGAACAGCATCTCCGAGGAAAGCGATCACAGAAATCACCCATTTCTTGTAGAAATTAGCGATTGAAGAAACCACGTTTCCTGACTTCATTTTCAAGTGGAGTTAATTTATACAATTCAAAGCATCAAAAGTACATTTGGGAATGTAGATGCGAAAAGGTGTCAATGATTGGATTTCCGATGTGCTGAAGAACTATGTAAGAGATAAATACCGAAAACGGAGGTATTAATCCATATACATGTATATGGATTAATACCGACGTTCGAGGTATTTATCAAACTTATTTCATAATATTATTCCTGATAGATCTTTATAAAATGGAAAACACATGCGTCTGTCTTAATATTACAAAAACTAAATCGTATTTTCGGTCCCTGTTTTTCCATGATTCAATAATTAAGACCTTTTGTTCAAGAGAACAAAGCACTAGCCAAGTGCACGTTCACACCTTCATCTTAAAATAAAACAATGAAAGTTGCAAAATTCTGGGATATTGACAAGGTTTTGAGAAACGTTTTTTGGCGTCCTCAAGGGAGTTTGCTTGTATTTTTTGGTTTCTTTGTTCAGTTGTTTTGACCATTTTATCAGCGTGTTTGATTATTCAGTAGGTCGGTCCATGCTCTCTCTTCTTCGACAGCGAAGAAGAGCTTTTTCTGACAGGAAATTTTTTTCGCATGAAGTATTATTTGGAACCTAATTTTAGCATGGGAAGGACAGACAGATTCACAGAAAACTTCAGCAGACCGTAGAATGATTGCTATCGTTGACAATGAAGAAAGGCATCTCGAATACCGCAAATGATACACAAATAAACACATCGTGGGCAGTCCGTGTCTGGTTTGAGTCAGCGGAGGAACGCGCTTAGCACGGTGTACTTGTGTCACTTGCTGTTAGGTTTGTTTTTCAATACTGATCTCTAAATCTTAGCTCATGCCACTCAGTCAATTCCCCATACCCAGGAGTAGAATGTTGTTATACTCTATGCTGGGACAAAGATTCCTAATTGTTGTACTCTTGCCCAGGGGGACTGAGTTTATATGTTCAGATGTCATGTCAGTAATCGCACCAGACCCTGTTATTCCCAAAGGGGGATGGGGGTGGGGGGGGGGGGGGGGTCCCCTTAACGGATTTTGCTGGGGGGGGCCACCCCCCGTTTCTCCCGTCCCTGCCCCTTTTTCGGCCAAAACCATTTTCTGAATTTTTTTTAAGACTTGGCTTTTCCAAACCCTTTTTTTTTTTCAATTGAGTAAAAGTTAGTTTTA